TTTCACCCCTTAAACATGCGTTAGGGCCCGTATAAAAAAATACGTGTTTCTTAGATTTTCGTGTTTTACAATATATTTCATGGAGAATCAAATCGGTTCAAGACAGTTGTGAAACTTCCCTTGTTAGAGAAGCTTGTAAGTCTAAACGGGGTATCCTTTCCGTCATTGCTTAAATTTACGATCCATTGGGTCTCATAGGGCCAGTCATAGTAAAGGCCAAACTATTCATGAGAAGCCTGTGGAAATTAAGCGTGAATTGGGATGACAAATTACCAAGTGAATTTATGCTCAAGTGGAATTCCTACAAGGAAAGACTGGAAGTTATCGAAGAAATAAGGTACCACGTCAAGTAGTAATCAAGGACGCCATCAAGATGGAAATGCATGGATTCTGTGATGCGTCGCAGGTGGCTTATGGAGCCTGTATTTATTTGTGTTCTATAGATACAACGGAAAAAAGAACCGTACGATTACTAACGTCTAAATCACGTATAGCGCCCATGAAGATTATCTCAACCCCAAGATTGGAATGATGCAGTGCAGTACTACTGGCGAAACTCACTAACAAAATAAGGAGTGTTATGACATTCCCGATAAGCAAGTATGTCTATTGGAGTGACTCTAGTATTGTTATCCATTGGATTCGAGGTGACAAACAATTATAAGGTCTTTGTAGCGAATCGGGTGGTAAAGATCCAAGGCTTAACACGTCAAGAGGAATGGCGTCATGTAGGGACAAAGTCTAACCCTGCTGACATGCTGTCTCGAGGTATGGATCCTCGGGAATTACCCTATTCAGAAATATGGTGGTCGGGACCATCGTGGTTACAAGCAAGCCCGGATCAATGGCCACAGGAATTTATTATGGAACGACAAGACGGATTAGAAGAAAGATCCCGAGAGAGGGTCTTGGTAACGATGCATGAAGAAGGATGCAACCTGTTAGACAAATTTTCATCACTATCCAAATTGAGGCGGGTGGTAGCTTAATATTATAGATTCGTGGAAAACGCAGGAAAGTCAACGCAACGAAGTAGTGGACCCTTAAAGGTAGAGGAATTGAGAAGAGCTAATATCGCGTTAATCAAGATAGTTCAGCGTCAAGCATATTCTCAAGAAATTGAAGAGTTGAGCAAGGAAGGAAATTTCAAGAGTGTAGCCAGAAGTAGTCGCATCTTAGCGCTAAATCCATTTTTAGACGAGCAAGGAATCCTGCGAGTTGGCGGCCGTCTGAAGAATGCGGAACTGTCATATGATCAGCGATTTCCCATTATCCTTCCTTCCGATAGTCCTTTTTCTACATTGCTCATCCGCGAGAAACATTATCAGTATTTACATGCAGAACTCAACACATTGAGTGCCATCATTCGCGAGAATTATTGGATTGTATCGGCCCGCAGAAAAATTCGTGGTGTATTACGCCGATGTATATTATGTTTTCGTAAATCTCCGAAAAATATAAGTCAACTTATGGGTAATTTGCCAGCAGTGCGGGTAAATCCGGGACGTCCATTTAATCATACGGGTATTGATTACGCCGGCCCGTTTACAATTAAGATATCGCGTAATAAATCGGGCAAAGCATACTTGGCTGTATTTGTGTGTTTAGCCACTAAGGCTGTTCATTTAGAAGTCGTTTCTGATTTGTCAACCGTTGCATTTATTAACACTTTGAAACGATTCGTCGCAAGGCGTGGTAAAAGCAGTCACTTATACTCAGATAACGGTCGCAATTTCATAGGGGCCAGAAATGAACTGAACGAGTGGGTAAGGTTTATCCAAAGCGAACAATTAAAGAACGAGGTTTTAGAGTTTACTGCTGAACAATCAATTAGGTGGAAATTCATACCCCCATATTCCCCTCATGTTGGAGGGATATGGGAATCAGCCGTAAAGGCAGCTAAATCTCATATGAAGGCAGTAATGAATCAGAATAGTTTGACATTTGAAGAATTGACCACAATATTTACTCAAATTGAGGCTATACTAAATTCGAGGCCAATAACTCCAGTCTCAACGGATCCCTCAGATTTATCGGCACTTACGCCTGGGCACTTTTTAGTAGGCGCGCCCTTGACGGCGATTCCAGAACCCAATATTGAGCAGATACACCTAAATCGCTTATCGCGCTTTCAACTACTATCTAGTATTATACAAGGCTTCTGGAAGCGTTGGTCAAGAGAATATGTTTCTAATTTACAAGTTAGACAAAAATGGAAAGAACGTAAAGAAAATCCTAATCTTAAGATAGGTGCTCTTGTATTGCTACGAGATGATAACGCCCCCCCGCTTCAATGGAGATTGGGTCGCATAACCGAGCTCATTAAAGGACAGGATGGACTAGTTCGGATGGTGGAATTGAAAACCCAGTTAGGGTTAACTCAACGAGCGATTCAGAGAATTAGTGTATTGCCATTAGAATAAATATTTTTTGGTATTCGTTTGTTTTTTGTTTTTGAAAGTCAAGCCTTTCAAGGCGGGCAGGATGTCGTAGAGCGCTAAAGGTGTGTAGAGCGAGAGATCGATAGATCGATAGATCGAGTGTGTGTGGTAAGAGCGAGAGAGGTGTGTGAGTATTATTATTATTGTGTTGTATTAAAAGATAGGATGTAACGGATATGTTTCGAGTTGTTGTATAAAGAGAATAAAAAAGGCGTTCAACCAAAGAAAGAGAAAGTTATATATTCATACCCCCAAAGGTTGGGATACATAAATCATGAATCAATCATCAGCTGTAAAAAACGCCGAATAAAATTATCTGAAACATCTTTACCAATGTTCGATGGGAAATACGAAAATTGACTGTCATTTAATAATTCCTTTTGCTATGATAGACTCGCGGACGGATTTATGCGATATTGAAAAGCTGCAATATTTGCAATCGGCGTTGAAAAGCGAAGCAGCCAACAAAATAAAGATTTTGGCAATCGACGGTGCACAATTATTTCAAGGCATGGGAATTGTTAAAGCGCGCGTACGAAGTCAAACGGATTTTGACTTCGTGACATCTGTCGCTCCTCGTAAATTTGCCCAATCAGGAAAGGGAATCCTTGTCCAAGCTCGCGGACGGCGCGCAGCAGCACGTCGCCTCCCTGTAGGCCTATTCTGTAACTTTTGTCGTTATCGTTACATACCGAAGATCGTCGTTTGCGCCACCGACACTGTAACGACAAAGTTATTCTGTAACTCCTCTTAGCAACAGGGTATCGATACAAAATAGGGTACCGACATCGTTATCGAAATGATTATACTCGGTTAGAAATAATTCTCACTGGCCAATCAAAAACTCCATTTGTGTTATTCTTTCGATGAATTTAGGAACACTAAAGAAACGTTATAACTTGTATAAAAATCTTTCAATGCCTATCAGAGCCGACACAGGATATTATGTGTAAATAATCAATTTATTAAAAACAATAAAATTATATAATTATGGTAACAGGTAAACGTTTCAACCCTATTACTTGGGTCCTCTTCAGTACCAAAAAGAAAAAAAACACAAAAATTCTATAATTAATTGTGTAGAGTAACTATGTAAACGGCAAGGTTGGAAGAAGCGAAGATTGTGTCCATAATATATGTACGACAAGAATTTGGCAGAATTGCTATGAAACGGAGAGCAAAATGTTAAAAATAGAAGAAGATTAAAAAACATTTTAATAAGAGCATGTCATCGAATGAGTAAAAAAAATTGCGAGACTTACATGTCATGAATAAGGAAATGGGCTGACGTACATTTCAGAGATGCATCCCGTCATTAATTGAAAAATCACTACACAAATAAAGAAATATAAAAATTTAAGGACGAATTAATGATAATTTAAACGTAAACGATGAGAGCTTACATGACGATACATTTGACGCGAACTTAACCGTCAGAAGTCACAGTTAGTAATGAGAGAAATTTCAGAACAAAGTCGAACAGAGACGAGATACATTTCGTAAATACGTCAACAAAACAACACCGATAAATCGAATATTAAAGTGAAACCGGTAAACGAGAGAAGTCGGCGCAAATAAACATACAGTTAAAGCTATAAATAAATTAAACGGATGCATACAAAAACTTAAAAAACATAACTGAGATTAATACATAATGTGAGTCAACGCAAGTAATTGTATAGTCAAAATTTTGAGTAAATTAATAAAAATTAAAAAATGTCAATAAGAATAAAATTAAGTACAAAGGTCTGAGATTGAAAAACTCAAAAAAAATACAATCAGAGTTATAAATGAATTAAACTGATATATAACAAAAACACAAAAAATATATGGTATAATTGAGATTAATACATAAGGTAAGTCAACGCAAATAAAAATATATTCAAAATTTTAAGTAAATTAATAAAAATTAAGAAATGTCAATAAGAATAAAATTAATAATAAAGGCCTGAGATTAAACAATCAAATGAACTTTTTCAAAAATAAGCATGTAATCGATGACAATAGAATAAAAAAGAGGAAACGTCACGAAGTCGAAAAAAGGCTCTCATATAACTGGTCTCGTTTGTACGTGTCATTCTGTAGATTTAATCCGTGTTTTTGTTTTGTAATGTGGATCATTTCTGATAAAATTCTTTCCTCCAAAACTTCTCTTTGTCTAAAATTTTTATGTTATCCCAGTGAAAGTCATGGGAAGTCTGTAATCTGTGTTCGGTAATTACTGATGATTGAGTGGTGTTTCTGTTGATATGGTTTCTATGTTCAGAAATTCTTACGCCAACACATCTTCCAGTTTGGCTCACATATGAGGCATCACAGTTTTTACAATTTAATCTATAGACTACTTCCGCTTGGGATGTTGTTGGTAACCTATCTTTATGTACCCCAATAAAGGAGTTCAATTTTTTAATACCCCTGTATGCAAACATTAAGCCCAGAATTTTGCTAAAGAAGCTCTTAATTTTTTCTGAAATAGAAGGAATATAAGGGATTACAAAAAATATTTTGTTTTCAAAAGAAGGAGCAGAAGCAGAAGAAGGAATATCATCAGAAGGAATATTTCGATAGTTAAGCTGTTTGAATCTATTGTATAGTTTCTTTTTAATGGTTGTAAAGATTAATTTTAGAGGGTACCCGTTCTTCAATAAAACATCGATGATAAAGTCAAAATTTTTTTTATGGAATTTAGGGTGGGATAGCAAAATTATTCTGTCTATCAAACTCACTATAGTACCAACTTTTTGAGACAGCGGATGACAAGAATAGAAATTAAAAAACGACCTGAAAACGCCGGTTTTCTGTACCAATCAGTAATAATATGTTTACTTTCCTTTATTAGAGTGACATCAAGAAAGTTTATAGAGTCTCCACCCTCCTCCATGGTGAATTTTAGACGAGGTTGGTAAGAATTAAACGTGTCTAAAATTTCTTTGTAGTCAAAAGGATTTGATAATCAACAAAATATCATCAACATATCTTACGTAGAGGGAAGGAGCAATAGACAATTTGTTTAGAGGGAGAGTCTCTAGCTCTTGCATGACAATGTCCGCCACAATGGGGGACAGTGGAGACCCCATTGGTACATCAAATGTCTGTTTATAAAAATTATTATTAAAAGGAAAAAAAAAACGAACCAAGGACCAATTGTAAAGCTTTGAAAAATTCAGATTCAGGAATATTTGTGTTCCGTTTGATAAAACACCATTTAGTTGAAAAAATTTCAATCGCAAGGTCAACTGGTACATTGGTAAAGAGAGAAGTGACGTCCAGAGATAAAAAACCGAAGAGTCACAAACAGTTAAAGATTTAATGACGTCGATCAATTGATAACTATTATCAATACAGTTCGTCGCACATGGTAAGCTGTAATGTAGAATTTTATGTAAAAAAGACGCTAAATTGTGAAGGGGACTACCCGTGGAAGAGATAATGACACGTAGTGGAAAGCCCACTTTATGGATCTTTTTTAAGCCGTATGCACGTGGCAGTATCGTGTTGGAAGAATATAAATATTTGTATGTGGAGTCAGAAATCATTGTCTATTGCTCCTTCCCTCTACGTAAGATATGTTGATGATATTTTGTTGATTATCATATCTTTTGACTACAAAGAAATTTTAGACACGTTTAGTTCTTACCATCCTCGTCTAAAATTCACCATGGAGGAGGGTGGAGACTGTAACGTCCGCCGAAATTTGCGCGCAGGCGAACGTCACGTTCAACGACGCCAGATGCGTTGCCACGACAACGCGAACTGTCACGACAGCCGCGAAACTCTCGCGAACCGTGATCACGCGCTTAGCGCGTGATCGAACAGCTGTTGCAAAGCCGTACTGCGCTTGCGCGACCCAATATAATTAATCGCGTGAAAATCCAATTAAACCAATAGCGAGACGAATTAACACTCCATGATATTAAATGCTAAACCATAGGGAACTAAGAGCCTCTCTGGTATCTTCGATCTATCGCAGTATTCCGAATAAATCAATAAATTCACTTCATTTAAATTCAACAATTGCAATTGCAAATTTAACTGCGCCGGTTCATAAAGCGTCTAATACTGCGCTTGCGATCGAGAATACGTAGCTGAATTGCATCCGCAAGTGCACCAAAAGCTTCCAACAAAACCTGTGGAAGTCCGTTAGAAGCTTTGCGATACAAGTAATGCACGAACGCTCTGTATCCAAAACTCTATTCATAAAAAAGGAAAACATCCTTCGACGGGAATGTAACGCTAATAAACGGGCACAGCGACTGCACACTATGCAGCACAGGGGCGGAGCGACTAAGAGGGCCCTGTCAACATTCAAATTTGGCAATTTCCTCCTTTAAGACAGTGAAATCTAACGAAATCTCATTAGATCGAAACTTCTAGAACATTTCAAAAGGTTCAAGTAACTGTTGACAGGTCAACCCCCTTTCCCGCTCAGCACCACCACTTCTAACGATATAAAAGCGCACACCAAAGACAGAGTCTGTCTTCTGTCTTCAGTCGTCTGTCTTCAGTTTTCTTGAGAATCAGAGTGTTAGAATTAGAGAGTTAGTATCAGAACCAGAGTGTTAGTGTGAGAGCTAGTCTACTGGTCTCCTTCAGAGAGTTCTTCAGAGTTCAGTCAGAGAGTTCTTCTTGGAAGCGGGGTGCTCATTCGTAAAAATCCCGAGGGCCATCCTCCATAGCAGGCACGTT